GCACCCACTGACAGCACCACCCTGCGAACACAGCGAAGCTCCAGGCTTCTTTTGATCGAGTGAAATTCACCTGTGCATGGCTGTGCTTCCCCGTTAACCCCCGGCACTGTGAGGTGTGGAGCTCGCTGGTTCTGGGGGCAAAGCTGGGGGGCTTGGGGTCGAAGCGAGCTGCTGGCACCCTTGACATCTGCATTTAGGCTCCCGAGATTCCCCCTTATCTGATGGGCAGAAGCTTCTGCAAATCCCTTCTCCTTCCTTCTGCTCAGGGTCACTCTTTTTTTCCCTTAATTTCTTGGGACTAGGAGCAAGACCCAGGCAAATGCAACTGATTGTGTAACGTTTTGCTCAGAAAGCTTCTTAAACAGTCACATATTTCTATTGGATTTCCCTTGCCCTTCACTGCTGATTACTGGAGTATTTATATATAAATAGAAGCTGTCTTCCCCATAATCTGCTTGTTTCTCCTAATTAACTCAGGGCTGCTCTCCTTGGGTTGCTCAGCCCTTGGGTTTTGGGGGTGCCAGCACCCAGTGGCACTCACTGAACCCAAATGCACCAAATTTCTGCTGAAAGTGCTTTTTTAGCTGGTTTTAAAGATGCAAAACCTTCCTTTCCAAACTTTATGTGCTCAGTATATGTCCCATCCTCCCAACCCCCAGCTCAGGGAAGTGCTCAAATGTGATTTCTTCTTCTTCCTCCCTCCTCGCAAAACTTTCCCCTAATTCAAGGAACGTCTCGATTTGATAATTATTTTAATCATTATTACTCATCTTTCCCCTTTCTTCCCCCCCTCAAAACTTCGTCCTGGGCCTGTCAATCACTTTAATAGCTGTTTACAACCTATCATCAAGTCTTGCATAACATCCACATGACTTCACTCAGATGCCTCCGACACCCAAAAGCTGCCCCTGGGCTCTATTTCAGGAGCGATGGAGCCCACGGCACCAACTGGCTGCATCCCCCGCCGGCATGCCCGGGGTCCTGGGATGGGGAGAATCAAAGCCAAAGACATGCCCGAAGCAAAACCATTTTGTAGTTAGCACAAGACAGCCCCACGCTGCTCCCCGTTCAGGTTTTTGGGGGTGAGGGCTGGTTTGGTGGGCTCACACCCCTCCCCAGCACCGCAGCAATTTGGAGAGATCGGGAGCTGAAGGCACCTGGTGCAGCCCCTGGATGGCAGCCTGGCCTCTGCCCCCCGCTCCCCTCACAGCACTGGAACACACGCACACCAAACATGGCCAGTTCTGTGTAAAATGTCGCTTTGCAGCGCAGTCCTGCAGCCCGCGGCACCGCCCGCCGGCGCGGGCTGGCGGGGGCCGGGGCAGAGGCGCAATCTGTGCCGGAGCGGCTGCCAGCCCTTTTCCTCCGGCAGGCGACGGCTGCCTTGCGGGGCGGGGGGGGACACGACGGCTCTTTTTTAAGCTCTCCCGTCCTCCCCCTCTCCCTCAGATTTCATAACCCTTCCAAAGCACGAAGAGGCTCCTCCGGTTCGCGGCTAATGAGCCCCTGCGGAGGAGGAGCCGCGGGGCTCGGCAGCGAAACCTCCCCACCGCGGGGTGAGGGCAGGGGGCACGCAGGGGTCCCTGCGGGGTCTCGCCATAACCCCAGCCTGGCCAGGTCTCTCCCCAAAACGCCCCTCGGCACCAGGCTGCCCGGGATGGGACGTCTCTCCCTCCCCGTGCAGATGCTGCATGCAAATATTTATTTACACAGCATCAAGGGGTTATTTATTAAGCCACAGCTGACAACTGTGTTCAAACTAATTTCTCTTAATAAGGCACATACGGTCACCCCGGCAACAGCACCGGAGAGCCCTTCTTTAAGGAAAATACTGGGGTGAAAATCCCCTTGGATGCCAAGAGGGTGCTCTGGGGGGGCCTCTGGAGGTGCTGGGGCTGGAGACACCAACCCCCTTCTTGGGAGATCTGCTCCATCCCTGGAGATGGAGTCCAGAGGGAGGAAACTGGGCTAGAAGTGCCTGTTTTTTGTGATATATGTATAGATACAGAGGTCACCAAAAGCAGGAGGACATCCGAGGGGGTCCGTGCTTGCCAAGGGGAAAATAAGGGATGGCAGAGCTCCTATGTCCTGCTTTGAACTGGAAAACACAATGGCTGCTTTATCAATTCCTGTAATCACAACACTAATTAAAGATGGTGTGGGATGAAGGCAGGATTTCTGCTTCCTTGCACTGACCAAGGTGACAGGTTAAACTATGCAGAGAAAGACAGCAAATTTCTCAGCTCCATCTCTGCCTCAGAGAAAAATCAAACTTAATTTCCCCTGGGTTTTAAAATCCTGGATGCATCAGTTTACCAAATGCTGCGCAATCCAGGGTTTGCAAAACACAGCTCCCCAAAACTGGAGGAAGCTCCTTATCCCCTCTGAAACCCAGACCTAAACTCACACACTAAATCATCACGGGGTTCTTTGGGGGGTATTTTACTGAACAGCCACACAGTGCTCCAACCCACTGGGGTGGCCCCAGAGAAACCCACCAAGAACCCAGAGCCCCAAAACAAAGGACTCACACTGGCAAGTAGAGCAGGCTGTGATTTACTGGGACAACAACACTTCTGCAACAACAGAGAACACGACTGTGCCCAGGCACCCGCCAGCACACCTGCAGCACCACTGAGCATTGCCACACGGGGACCTCAGAGAGGTGACATCAAAGCAGACACTGGAGGGGTGCTCGAGGTTCTGGGGAGCCCAGAGAGCTGACACTGAGAGCAGAGACCAGAGGGAAGCTCCTGGAGACCTGAGAGAGGTGAAACCAGAGCAGAGACCAGAGGGATGCTCATGGTCCTGGGGACCTTGGAGAGGCCACACTGAGAGCAGAGACCAGAAGGATAATCCTGGGGATCCCAGAGAGGCCACACTGAGAGCAGAGACCAGAGGGGTGCTCATGGTCCTGGGGACCTTGGAGAGGTGACACCAGAGCAGAGACCAGAGGGGTGCTCATGGTCCTGAGGACCTTGGAGAGGTGACGCCAGAGCAGAGACCAGAGGGATGCTCATGGTCCCCAGCACTGCTTTCCCTCCTGTGTCACCCCCAGACACACAGACGCGAGACAGAAGCCTGCTGGGACAGGCAAGGCTGCTACATGCCAAGGGAGGGAGCAAAAGGCAGTGGGTTCCAGATGGGCTCCACGGGCATTGCAGCCACTCTGGAGACAGTGGCACACAACTCCCTCCGTAGGCACTTGATCCCTCAGTCCCGGGCACCCTGGCTCTGCCTGTGGAGCTCCAAAGGCACACATTGGCTGCAAGGGATCTCACAAACTCCTGCCGGGATTGCAGAGAGCCTGGAGGAGCCCAGCACTGTGTGGATGTGATGGGGTTTGGTCCCAGCCTGGCTTGTTTGTGGGTGGCTGGGCTCAATCCTAGCTGTGACAGTGGGGCTGCTCTTCACATGCTCATTCCCAGCCCAGATTCCCTTTTATCCATGAGATGAGCATGTTGTCAGACCTTTGCCTTCTCTGAAAGTCATCTGAGATGGCAGGAGCCAGGTAGGAGCACCAGGAAAGCAGGGATTCGGGGCTGAAGTGGGGGTTTGGCAGTGATTCAGAGCTGGGAAAAGGCATCTAAGCAAGGACAGGGAAAGTGGAGCAGGCCACAAGATCTGCCCTGGAAACTGGGCTTGGACCAGAAGAAACCAGAATCAGAGGGAACTGCTGTAGCTGGAAGTGCTGATCTAGTTGAAAATAAAAAGCATCTACAGCAGGCAGTGGTAGGTTCCCTTCCAGGGCAAAATCCTGACTGCTGAGTGCAGGACTTTGCCCAGGCTGCTCTGTTTGCAGGGTTTGCTCTAATAAACACACACATCCCTGCAGCAGAGGAGTTGAGCTCCTTGGAGGCATTTCCTTAAGGATAGATCCCTGCCTGTGTCCTCACTGATCTGCCCAAGCCTCCCTCCTCCTCCTCTTACACACTGCCTGGGTTGTAGCACAGCAGGTTGAACTCCAGGTTCTCGTCCCAGTGACGGAGCAGCACAAAGAGCTGCTGGGCTGCAGCCTTCACCGCGGCCAGGTGCTCATGGTCCTGAGGACCTTGGAGAGGTGACACCAGAGCAGAGACCAGAGGGATGCTCATGGTCCCCAGCACTGCTTTCCCTCCTGTGTCACCCCCAGACACACAGACGCGAGACAGAAGCCTGCTGGGACAGGCAAGGCTGCTACATGCCAAGGGAGGGAGCAAAAGGCAGTGGGTTCCAGATGGGCTCCACGGGCATTGCAGCCACTCTGGAGACAGTGGCACACAACTCCCTCCGTAGGCACTTGATCCCTCAGTCCCGGGCACCCTGGCTCTGCCTGTGGAGCTCCAAAGGCACACATTGGCTGCAAGGGATCTCACAAACTCCTGCCGGGATTGCAGAGAGCCTGGAGGAGCCCAGCACTGTGTGGATGTGATGGGGTTTGGTCCCAGCCTGGCTTGTTTGTGGGTGGCTGGGCTCAATCCTAGCTGTGACAGTGGGGCTGCTCTTCACATGCTCATTCCCAGCCCAGATTCCCTTTTATCCATGAGATGAGCATGTTGTCAGACCTTTGCCTTCTCTGAAAGTCATCTGAGATGGCAGGAGCCAGGTAGGAGCACCAGGAAAGCAGGGATTCGGGGCTGAAGTGGGGGTTTGGCAGTGATTCAGAGCTGGGAAAAGGCATCTAAGCAAGGACAGGGAAAGTGGAGCAGGCCACAAGATCTGCCCTGGAAACTGGGCTTGGACCAGAAGAAACCAGAATCAGAGGGAACTGCTGTAGCTGGAAGTGCTGATCTAGTTGAAAATAAAAAGCATCTACAGCAGGCAGTGGTAGGTTCCCTTCCAGGGCAAAATCCTGACTGCTGAGTGCAGGACTTTGCCCAGGCTGCTCTGTTTGCAGGGTTTGCTCTAATAAACACACACATCCCTGCAGCAGAGGAGTTGAGCTCCTTGGAGGCATTTCCTTAAGGATAGATCCCTGCCTGTGTCCTCACTGATCTGCCCAAGCCTCCCTCCTCCTCCTCTTACACACTGCCTGGGTTGTAGCACAGCAGGTTGAACTCCAGGTTCTCGTCCCAGTGACGGAGCAGCACAAAGAGCTGCTGGGCTGCAGCCCTCACCGCGGCCAGGCTGGATCCCTCCGGGAAGTCCTGCCCGCTCAGCCACAGGCTGGCTTTGGCAGCCACCAGCTCCCACTCGATGAAGTAGGAGGCCGAGCTGTGCTCCAGCCAGGCCAGGGCCACGGCCGTGGCCCACAGCATCCCCTCGGGCTCCGTCTGCTGCTGCAGCTCCGCGGCCGAGAGCACAGCCTGCAGCTCGGAGCCGGCGGTGTCCCAGCCCCGGCCGCTGCCGGCGGGGGAGGAGAAGCTGCGGATGGTGATGGCCGGGGCCCGCGGCTCCCTCTCGGCCTGCAGGGCCCTGCAGGCGCTCTCGGCCGCGCTGCCCGACAGGAGCCGCAGGCGGCCCGTGTCCTCCGGCACCGCTGCCCCGGCCCGGCCCTGCCCCGGCCCGCTGGGGCCCGGCAGCGGCTGGGCGCGGCTCAGGAGCCGGTGCTCCGAGGAGGGACTGCTCCTCTGGGTGCTGTACGAGCCCGAGGGGCTGAGGGACAGGCGGTGGCAGGCGAAGGGCGACGTCCGCTTCAGCTTCTCCATGGGGATGTTGACGGCGTCGCAGAAGGCTGAGTTCAGAAGGAAGGCACCGCAGGCCAGCTGCAGGGACACCTGCAAGGGATGGCGGGCACAAAGGGAAGCTCTGGCACCAACCACTTTTGGGTACCTCAGGAAAAAGGCAAGCATGGATGAAACAGCTGTCCATCTCTGAGCAGGTCACTGGATGTGGTTGTCAGAGACAGCGGGAGGAAGATTTGGGGGGATCCTCCTCTGCTCCCCTGCAGTGACCACACAACCCCAACAAGACCCAGGGAGGAGCTGCTCACCAGGGGAAGGTAGTCCATGCTCTCACTGTCACCCTCAGAGCTGGCTTTGCTCCCTCTGCTTGGAGATTTACTCATGAAGCCTTTGGCAGCTCGAACCAGCAGCATGGTTTTATTGAGGGTCAGCCTGTGAAACAATGAAAAGGTGTCTGTGACCTCTGTGCTCATCCTGACACCCACCCTCCCCTCCAAAATCATCTCTGCTCCCCAGACACTGGCACCACTCTTCGCCCCAGCTCCAGCTGCTATCCTTGGGGGTCCCTCCTCTCCCCCTGGCTTGTGTTCACATCAGACCCACACAGGGGAAAGGCACCTGCTGAGGTCAGAAGAAGGTTGAGCTGGCTCATACCTGGCAGCAAAGAGCCTCTCAATGGATTTTTGGGCTTGTGCAGAGGAAGCAGACAGGCTGTGGAGAGACCCTGGGGAGAAACACAGTGCTGGGGTTACAAGGTGCTACAGGGGAGCAAAAGAGAGCAGAGTCAAGGTCCTGGGAAATGGGCTTGTTTGGCTGCTGAATCTTTGGCAAAACTCTTCTTTCTCCCCTTGCCTCAATTTTCCTATATGTATAATAAAAATTCCAATACCTCTTAAAAATGAACCTGAGGGAGATTTATACCAAAAACCACATCAGGTTCCATCCTTTGCACCTCAGAATGAGTCAGGCCCTGTGCTCACAAGCCTAGTTTTAGGTCATAAATTTTTATAAAATTCCCCAAAACTCAGCAGAAGCCCAGACCACGGACTGAATGGAGCTGCACCAAGTGGCAGCAGCTCTTTCCCTACCTTCAGGGACACGGCAGCGCTCCCAGGCAGACGAGGACGGGGTGCTGGAGGGCGAGGGGCTGCTCTCCTCAGCATCTGCAACCGAGGAACTACATCAGCAACAGCACCCAGCCAAAACCAGCACCTTCCCTCCCACGGCACGATGGGGTTAATGAGCCTCTTTGGGGCTCTGTTAATTCAGCTCTGGCTCTGACAGTGCCAGACAAGGTCCAATCCAACTCGTCTTCATTAGTGGAGGATTTGGTGACAAGTGAGTGTCTCACATCCCCCCCTGCCTCCAATTACACTCGTTTCATCCTTCGTGTTACCCACGGTATGGCTGCCAATTAACTCCCGAGCGCTGTCAGCAGCACCACCTGCCATTTCAGGGCTTTGGGGGAAAGCTTCCTCACCATTCAAGGAGATGAGCCCCAGCCTGACACGTGTCTGATGAGCACCGTATGCAAAGGGGAAGGCAGAATTTAGAAAGACCAGAGAAGGAGTCCCAAGCCACTGAGATCTCTAACACCAGGAAGGAGATAAAAGCCCAGGCAATCTTACTCCTGCTGTTAAATCTGTAGTCTCCATTCTGGCCACATGCTGACTGAGGACGTCCAGGGGAACAGCCACGATGCCTTCTGCTTCCTGAACTCTTCTGTTTCCTCTGGTTGCCTTGCTTGGATGTTGCCCCTTGGCACGAGAGAAGAGAATGGCCAGTGTTAGAGAGGGACTGGCACACACACAGTGGCAATGAAACCACAGAATGAGCTTGGTCAGGAACTGGAGTGACAGGACAAGGAGTAATGCCTTCAAACTGGAAGAGAATAGGCTTTGATGGGCTATTGGAAAGAAATTCTTTGATATGAGGGTGGTGAGGCCCTGGCACAGGTTGCCCAGAGAAGCTGTGGCTGGTCCCTCCATGGAAGTGTCCAAGGCCAGGATGGACAGAGCTTGGAGTAGCCTGGGATAGTGGAGATGGTGGCAGGGGGTGGAATAGGATGAGCATTAAGGTCTCTTGCAACCCAAAACATCATGTGATTCTCTGGTCATCTCTGAGTATCCAGACCTCAGAGAAGACCTTTTCCCTGGCCACCAGAAAAGGTTTGTGCCACCAAGAGCTTGGCCACGGCCTTGGGTATGAATCTGGTGCCAAACTGCACTGCAGGTTCATAGGGTTTGCCCTGAGAGAAGTTCCCCAGTGACCCCTTCCCTGCCCAGACAAGGTTCCACCCCTGTGCCAGCCCCACATACCTGTGTGGGTGTACTGCACCAGGGTGGGCAGGTAGGAGCTGGTGCTCAGGTCCACGGGCACGAAGGCCGTGTACTTGCTGATGATGTTGCAGGCCTTGCTGGTGTGGACAGCGCTGAGCTGGAACCGCCGCCCCGACCCTGCCGCGGGAGGGACAGCGGGCTCAGAGTCACGGCCCCAGGGGCTCCCCACCCCTCACACCCAGCTCCCAGACCCACCTCCATGCTGGGGATCCATGCCCAGCAGGGGCTGTATCGCTTTATCTCTCTAAACTCTGCCTACTGCTACTGCTGCTCTTATTTTACAAGCCCAGATGTGCTTCATGGAGGACAGGGTTGACATGGCCCATGGACATGTGTGGCCTAGGGCAGTGATGTGTGGCTGCTGCCACTTCCCAGCTCCAAGTAACTAACTCCTTAAAAATCACCTCATGCATGAAGCAGAGGGATCACAGAATCTTGGAACATACTGAGTTAGAAGGGACCCTCAAGGACCATCAAGTCCAACCCTGCTTCTGAGGAGTGGGAAGGAGCATGAGCTCAGGAATGATCATGTGCAGCAAGGCTGGAGAAGCAGAAGAGCACAAGGCAGCTGAAGGGGGCTGTTATTTGGGAGATGTGTGAGACATTCCCTAATATTTCACCACCAGCAGCTTTTGTTTTCACTCCAGAGGCTGCTGAGACTGCTGGAAAGCCCTCCTGAGGCCGGGCAGGGTCTGCCTGCAGCCAGCTGTGCATTACCATGCTCGATTTCACACTCCCTGTCGGCGAGCTGCTCCAAGTCCTGGATGAGTGACTTGGCTGCCAGGTGGTGGAAGGTCTCACTCCACAGGTCAGTGTCACCATCCTCCTGGCTCTCCCGCTCACGGAACAGAGGGTGGATATCAAACGTGACTTCCCACTGCACAGGCTCGTTGTTCCTCAGGCCCTTCACCACTGCCTTGCAGAGGGTCCTGGGGGAGCGTGGGGAGCCACAGGCAGCGCCCACATCCAGGTCCTGGGGCTCCCAGTCAGAGGAGGTCTCTGTCTCAAAAGTGAGGGATGGATGCTGGGCAGACTCTGCAGAGAGGGGAGAGGAGGATCATTAATCACCTCCTGGGAGCTGAATTCCCCACTGGCACCACAAAACCGTAATTAATCCTTCCCAATTTTCACACGGTGGCACGGGGCGTGATGCAATGCCACCAGAGCTGGCACGGACAGGTGAGGCTGGCCATGCCTCCCCTCTCCCACTCACCCAGATCCCCGGGGCTCCGGCTGTCCGATGAGGAGTGCAGGCTCCTGATGGCCCCAAGTGCTTCCGAGCCCCTTGCCGGGGCTTCCTGCAGCCCGTCCGGCAGCGCCGGGGGGGCGGTGTCCTGGCAGAAGGACACACAGCTGTGCTGGAGCAGGGCAGGGCGCCGGGCGCCTGTGCCACGGATCCTGGCGGCAGAGGCATGCGGGATGGCCGGGAGGGGCTGCGAACAGAGCAGATGTTCGGGCTGGAGCCGGCTGCAGCCAATGGCACAGACCTGCTCTGTGCCCTCTGTTCCTGTCTGCTCCCTGCACAGACCTGCTCTGTCCCCTCTGATCCCATCTGCTCCCTGCCCGACCCCTAGGAGGGATGCAATCATACAGGTCCCTCCCTCTGCCCATCCCTGGCTGAGATCTGTGCCCAGACAAAGCTCTCCACCAGATCTTGGGGTGTCCCCAAGGGACCTGGCCCCACAGGCTCCTTCCCCAGACATACAGAAGGTGAAATATGAGTTTCATCCCTCCAGACATTTTAATGACTTCACTTGGGAACCAAAGAAAAGAAGAGAGACAGAAAGATCAAGGACCAGTTGCTTAGTAACGAAAGGAGAGAGGTGCAGGGGATGGGAGAAAGGAATTTTTATCTTTTTATCTTTTTTTTTCTTTTTTTTTTTTAAGACTGTTTCTCCACTTTCAGGAGACATGAATCCCCCACTCCAGCACCTCTGGTGCCACATTCCACAGAGATGCTCCCCTCTGCAAGGTCTGGGTTTCATCCCTTTCCCCAGGGCTGTGGGAAGATCCATCTAAAACAGACAGACTCTATATTCCTAGGGTATCACCAGCAAGAAACAGAGGTGGTAGAAAGTGGTGGATGGAAGGATACTTCCTCTGAGTGACAGACATATATGACCTCCACCACCACCACCTAAATTTTGTTGTTCTATGACACCACCAGCAAAACTGGGAGCCAGGTGGCTCCAGGCATGATTTACCAAGCTAATATTGACACATCCTGCCAGACCCTTTCTGTTCCAAACCTGCTCCTTCTCCTGCCCGGGCTCTCCTCCCAGCCAGAGGAAGCCAGCTGGGAATGGAGCTGGGGGTTTAAGCTGCCCGTGGCTGGTGCTGACCTTTCCTTCCCAGCATGGCAAGCGTGGAGATGAGCTGAGGGCTCGGCTTCACACCCCTGAAAATGTCAAGCCCTGGCAGCAGGACTGGGAGCTGGGAGAGCTGCTGGGAGCCCTGGCAGCAGGAGGGATAGCAAAACCAGGCTGCATTTAATTAAGAGCAGGCTGCATGCTGTTAACCATTTACTGCCCCCCAGAAGGGAGTCAGTTCCACCCCTGCTTGCACACCAAAGGCAGGAGATGCTCTGGGGCCCTTCCCAATACAGGGAATGTTGCCAGTACCCCTAAAACCTGCTTGTTCTTGGTCACTGATGCTGTTCACCACCCTCACTACTGAGGGCAGTAGGTCTCATCCCTCCCTCTGGAGCCCTGGCCCTGCTTTCCCCTTTGCCCCCTATCTCCCCTCCCAGCCCTCACCCAGTGATCTCTAACCCACAGCCGAGGGGAAATGAAAGTCCACGACATCCCACTCGGTGTTTCCATGGGAACACAAGTGCTGCTGGTCCTCCCAGCCCTGCAGATGCTGATTGCAGAGCAGAGCATCCCAGCAATGCCAAGGATGAGAGAAAACTATCCCTATCCTTCCCAAAGATAGCTGAAAAATCTGCCCAGATTCCACCTGCTGCAGATAGGGGACAAAACCCTGTTCAGCAGATGTATCATCACACAGGTTCACATCTCATCCCAGTGCTGTGCAAGGCAATGGATCCAGCTGGGAATCCGCTTTGGCATGAATTCCTTTTCCCTGCCAGGCACAGAAGTGCCATAGCCATGGGCAGGTTTGAATCCTAAATTGTAGGGAGGTAAGAAGGACCAGAGCAGCAGCAAGGCGAAGCACAGGCTGCTAAGGGGAAGGGGAGCAGGGGAAAAGCATGTTCCCATGGGGAGGGACTGCTCTGGGATATCAGGATGGCACTCTGCTCCATGCTTGGCTCATTTCCCCAGTGTTTGGGATGTGCTGCAGAGCTGTATCTACTATCTATACCTGTAACAATATTTTAGGGCCAGTGTGAGTCAGGCCCTTTCCTTCAGGCTCTTATCCACCTGATATTTTCCTCCTTCTCCTTGCTGGTCCCACCTGAAGGCAAAGCCTCTTGGGGGATCACCTACCTGGAAATCCACCTGGCAGGGCTCGGGGCTGAGCTGCTGCAGGTCCTGCAGGTGGGTTTTCCTCAGGGGGTTTTTCACCAGGGCTGTGCCAGGGTCGCTGGCTGTGGGCACCTTCCTGCGAGGCTCGTGCTCGGAGATTTGGGTGGTGCTGTACGCCCGCCGCCTGGACAGAGCCTGCACGTCCTTTCCTGAGGTGGGAGAGAGGATCAGCTCCCTCCACAGTGGGATCAGCCAGCACCACCCCCTGGCTCACAGTGGAGGCAGGGAGCCCTCGCCAAGGTCCTGCCAAAGCTCAGGGGGCCACACTCAGCCCTGCAAAGTTTTAAGCAAAGCAACGAAACCACAGAAGGAAACAGAAACAGAAAATTCCTGGGGATGTCAAGAGAGCAGGTTGGGAAGGTTTTGTCTGAGGAGTTTTCAGCCAAAAAAAGCCTGACTGCATTTCCCCAAACCTCCCTGGAGAAGACAAAAGGTTTACTAATGAAATTTAATTAGTGCAGACACGCTCCTGTCAGAACAAGTCTCAAATTTGCCTTGGAAAGACATGATTTCTCATTGCTTTTGACAAGTTTGAGGGGATGCACAGTACAGATCCTCTTGGAATAAAAGGGAAGAACATCCCATGAGTAACAGAGGTTTCCCCAGCTCCAGGGTGCAACCAGCTGCTTTATGCCACATGCTGCTGAAACAAACACCCAGCCAGGCCGTGGTGGGGAGGAGTGACACCCTGGGGAGAAGGCTTTGGATCCATTGTCCCCCTCTCCTGACTGGGAAGCTGCTTTGCAGGTACGGGGATGGTCTAGCAGAGCTATCTATTTGCTCACTCCACTCCTCCTCACACCGCTTGGGAAGCTTGTAAATAATTATGTGGCCAAAACTAAAGCTGCTTTGAAAATCTCCAGGGAACCCAGCTCACCAGGGCTTCCCTTGATTTCCTGACAGGTTTGGATGAAACATCCAAACCAAACAGACTTGCTCAAGCCTCAGGAGATCTGTCATCTCTCCTGCAAACTCCTCCAGCTCTTTGCAGCTGAAGACATGTGTAAATCAGGCAAAAAAAATGGGGGGAGCAGCGACAGGAGCTTGATTAGAGAGACAGGGGCATCACCCCCCACCATGTACAGAGGAAAATCTGACCCGTGTCCGTGTCCGACTCTGCCCCGGGATCTCTGCCCACGCCCAGGTGCTCAGGGGAGCACTCGGCGGGGCAGGACCCCTCCGAGTCTCTGGAGTGGTTCCAGCTCTCCAAGCTTGCTCCCTCCTCCTGGGAGTGAAAGAAAACAGAGCTGCCCGACTCCTGGGAATGCATCGTGCTGTACTGCCGCCTCTTGTCCTGGGGGGAAGCACAGAGAGGGAACAATCCCACCACCATGTCTGTCCACGGGCTCCCAGCTGAGACAGGCTGCACCAGCATCCTTAGCCACTACTGCCCCCCAAAGCCCCACCATCACCTCCCTTAAGGACACAGCTGGGAAGCAGGAGACACTCCCTGACCATGCACAGAGCCAAGACTCTTGAGTACACCCCAACAGCCCCCGCTGCTGGGACAGCCCCGCAGACTCACAGATCTGGGGTTGGAGAGGTACGGGGAGGTGTCGCAGATGACACCGTAGCTGACCAGGCGGTCACCAGGGAACAGGCAGCTGCTGCTGACAGGGGACACCAAGACCTCGGTGCTCTCAGGAAAGACCCACTCCACGGACACATCACTCAGGACCGGCGCCATCGCCTTCTTCAGTGACCTGACCATCTGCAAAGGGCAGGGGGAGAGGTTCAACACCAGCTGGACGCAGTGGGAGCCATGGTACACATGCCATGTGCTGCAGGGAAGGGGAACATTCCCTCAAACAATCCCATCAGCTGATTCCTACCCTCTCCTGACAGTCTGCTTCCTCTTAGTCTACTCTGATGTCCATCACAGCACCCCCATCTCCTTGGCACAGTTATACCTGACAGAGCTGGGTTAATGGTTGGTCTTTTCCAACCTAAATGACTCCATGATTCCATGATTTTTTACCCTGAGCAGATAGCGATGGAGCACAGGGCTGATCTCACACACGCTGCCAGCCCAGAGCAAGGAGGGAGCTATTGGCCTGAGGGATTTTTCTCTGATGCGAGGCAGCATTCCCTGCTCCCCTCTAGCACCCAGGAAATGCTGTCAGCCTTCAGTGGTCTGAGCCCCAGCCCCAGCCCTTGTCCCGAGCCCAGCACTCACACACTGATATTTTTGGACCAGCTCATTGCTGGCACAAGCTGCTGCCAGAGATCTGTCAGTTACACGCGTGGAGAAGACCAATATTCGTGAATACCTCATGGACAAATCTCCCATGGAGCCATCTACACAAGCTTCCCTGCACACCCAGGGAACTGAACACCAGATTCAGAGACAGAACAGCGCAAATATTCCCTATTGTTCCCTGCTTTTTCACAGGCTTGGGAAGACACACCAGGCTGTGTTTTATAAGACCATTAATTGACGCCTCAGACTGCTGAAGGCACCGAGCTGCACAGCCTGCAAAGCTCTTATTAATAGCTCTTATTAAACACCTCTCTCTTCACTGTCTTTGCTTTTAATTTACATCAGAAATGTTGATGCTATTCTGTCTTAGAGAGGTTTTTGTGTGCTCCAGGCTCCTGCAGAGGGTGGAGCTGCTGAACTCTTCCTTGAGAGATCAAGAAGGTAGGAGCTGGCTTTTTGGAGATGTTCAGGAGCTAAAGACCCAATTCTCCCTGGGTTCATTCAAGCAGCAGGTGACAGGCTGGGCTCTGCATTCACCAGGGGACAGAGCCATCTCTATGCCAGATTTCAAGCACACAGTGTTACTCTTCATGGGGAGAGAGGGAATGGAGAGGCTTTAAAGTCAGCTTAATAAGCAAAGCCATCACAACGCATTCCTCTCGCTCCAGCCCCGAGTCCTTCTCGCCTGAGCAACGCCAGGGCTGAGCCCGACTTCAAAACTAATTGGCTGCTTTGATGCTGGTCCCACTGCCCTCGCCGAAGCTGAGGCAGAGCTGCCTTTGAAGGCAGAGCTGCAGCATTGCAGCCCCGCAGCCCAGGCAGAGGCAAACACACCCTCTGCTCCCTCTGAGGGTGGCTGGACACGGAGATGCTCTTTCATCCCCTCCGCTCACCCACCTGCTGCCAGAGGGGTTTGGAAGGCAGGGCCAGGATGGGGAATGAACCCCCCGGGAGCCGTGGCCTCCCCCTCGCTGAACCAGAGCACCCTTACAGCCCCACGGGGGAGTGGGGGCTGTACCTTGGGCTGCAGCCTCTCATCCTCCTCCAGGAACTCGGAGACGCCCCTGGACACGGCAGCCAGACCCCGGACCAGCCTCCTGCAGGCGTTTGGCCCCACACCAAAGCTGTAGCACCTGCAAAGGGACAGGGAAAATCAGGGTCCAAAGGAAAAGCCACCCACCAGCCCCATGTAGCTCACACACTCCCTCAGGCAGAATTCCCTCTGGCTTTATCCCACTGCTATTTCCAACAGAATAAAACAGCTCCTCTTTTAGGTATGTGGCAGGAAGGGTGAGAACCTCCCTGTGCCTAAAGGGGCTCCAAGAGAGCTGGAGAAGGACTCTGGACATGGTCATGGAGTGACAGGACAAGGGAGAATAGCTTTAAGCTGAAAAAGGGCTGGGTTAGACTGGATATTGGGAAGAAATTCTTCCCTGTGAGGGTGGCCCTGGCACAGGGTGCCCAGGGAAGCTGTGGCTGCCCCTGGATCCCTGGAAGTGTCCAAGGCCAGGCTGGAGGGGGTTTGGAGCACTCTGGGCTATGGAAGGGGTCCCTGCCTGTGGCAGGGGGGTGGAATGAAATGGGCTTTAAGGTCCCTTCCAATCCAAACCATTCTGGGGTTCAATAAACTGTCAGCCCCCTCCTCTCAGCAGACCCCAAAACCCTTCCCCAAAGACCAGCCTTCAGCAGTGACACTCAGGGCTTCCCAGCAGGACCTCAAGCCTTCCCCTCTGCTGCAAACACAAACAAGCTGCTTTGCTCTCAGTTCAGCTCTTTTCCCTGCTGGCTGTGGTCAATAGCACCAAATATCCAGTAATTATCTCTGCTTGCAATGAAAATAAACATTTTCTCAGGGAAGGATGATCAAGGCAGGTGAGGCTGCTCCCCCACCCACTCCCAGGTCTGTGAATCCGGATTTGGTTTGGGCTGAAGGCTGGAAGTTGAGCTGGAGCCCAGGCAGGGAAGGCAGTGCTACATGGGGAAGGATGTGCCAGGAAGCCAGGAGGATGAAAATGGGTGGGATGTGGCATTTGGGCAGTGCAGTGGATTGCTGAGAAAGAAAGCACCTTCAGCAGCAAACTGCATCTGCACAGGGGGCTTTTCTCTTGGAGGGTTTTAATCCTCAGCTGCCTGCAAATCCTAGGCCAGCCTCACACCCCTCCTAAATAAGGTTCTGATCTTCTTTTAAGATGGGCCATGCCCAGGACTCTCCCTTCCACGGTCACCCGAGACCACGCTCCAGCTCTGATTGCTCCTAACCCTCCCCTCCAGCTCTGCAAGAGCGAGGGCTGGGAGGGTGGGATGCCCTCTACACTGGGAAACAATCAGACTCTGTGCAGTTACAAACCCACAGAGCAGCTCCCCTGATAACTCCAAACTCTGAGAGATGGAAGAGGAATCAGGATTTCTTACATTTTCCCCATGTTTTGTGCCCCTTAAAGAGGCAGAGGAGAAACCAGAACAGCCTGTGATCAGGGCTCTGGAGCCAGGCTGGGAGCTTGTGCACAAATTAGCTGCTTTTTACATTGCTGCCTTTCAGCATATTCAATTCTGCACAGCCCCAGCCTGGAAGCAGCTGGGGCCAGCCCCAGATGTGCTTTAAAAAAAAATTCAAAAAAAGCAAGGAAGATTGTTGGCGTGTCAATCTCTCCTAGCAGGAAGCATCAGCCGAGAGCTGTGAAGTTGTCAGCTCAATTATCCTGCTTTTGATTGTTTAAAAAGCATCTGAACTTCTGGGATTCGTTCCAAAGCCTTTGAGGTTCTCCCATGGCTCATAGCAGCAATCTCTCCTGCCTCTGTCTCTGAAGTGGGGACGCCTGTGAGATGGAGCTGTGCTCGAGGGGAGCCACACGCCAGCCTGTGCCAGGTTTCTGGCCCTGCGGGGGTGAGTCTGTACCTGGTGGAGCAGGAGTGGTCCCGCAGCAGCTCCAGAACCTTCCCGGTGTTGCTGACGGCCCCGGCTGTCAGCAGAAAGAGCAGCCGGGGGTGGCCCCTGTGGGTGGGCTGGCGGACGAGCCACTTCAGGGGGGACAGGAGGTTGATGCTGCCCATATCAGCCCGGATCCTCCTGATGCTCTGGCAGGCAATGAGCAGGCTCTCCTGCCCAAAGGAACAGTGGAATCATCAGCACCAGCACCCTCTGAGCACCAAGGAGAGCCATAGGAGAGGCTGAGGGAGTTGAGGCTGCTCATCCTGGTGAAGGGAAGGTTTTGAAGAGACCTTAAAGCCCCGTCCAGTGCCTAAAGGGGCTCCAAGAGAGCTGGAGAAGGACTTTGGACAAGGGCCTGAGGTGACAGGACGAGTGGGAATAGCTTTAAGCTGAAAAAGGGCAGGGTTAGATTTGGTATTATAAGGAAATTATTTACTGTAAGGGTGCTGAGGCCCTGGCACAGGTTACCCAGAGTTGTGGCTGCCCCTGGATCCCTGGAAGTGTCCAAGGCCAGGCTGGTGGGGCTGGGAGCACCCAGGGACAGTGGAAGGTGTCCTTGCCCATGGCATGTAAGATCCCTGCCCACACAAACCAGTCTGTGAATCTGTGACCTGTGGGTTCACCCACCTCACAATAGGCCTGGCTGACAGGAAAGAGGGTCTTGAAGGTGGATCCAAACCCAATGACATTGAAGAGACATGCTGGCATCAGGCTCTTGAGAATGACCAGCAGGGCATCCTGAGGGGTGGAATGCAAACAGACATCAGGACACTTGGATCCTCCCTGGCTGCCCCAACTTCACCAGTAAAAGCTCTGCCCAGAGCCATCCCATCTTATTCCCACTTTCACCTGACAACACACCAACTGCTTCTTTCCATGCCTCCATATGACCCTGCTCTTTTCAAAGTCCCTTGATGATATTTGGGACCTGAAGCAGTGAGGAAAATGGGGAGTCTTTGGAAAAAAAAGACAACAAAGAACTGAACAATTTTTTCTGTTTGTTTTTAAGGGATTCAATTTGTGCTGGCAACACAGTGCTGCAGCACAGAGCTGGTGGGTGAGAAGCAGAGTGTGAAATTGAGAAGTGCGACACGCAATGCATCTCAATGCCTAAACTTGCAGAAAATAAACAAACAGCTTAAAGTTACACAAAAGGAAAAGCCTCCCCCATCCCCAATTCTCTTGTATTCATAGCTGGCTTCAATTAAAATAACTGGGAGACAACGGATTTAAGCTATTTTCTTTACCAGAGGTGGTTATCTAACGTGCCTATTCCTGGGCTTTACATAAGGCAAGAGCAACTTGAATTGTCACAGTGATATTGTGGACAAGTCCAGGACAGAGCTTGTGATCACAGCAACTGGGCAAGAGCTGCTTAAGGAGCTCTTGAACTTGTAGGAGCAATTATGTGGCAGGAGAGGAGGCCCATTTAAAGCAAAGTGTTTATTTAAAGCAAAATGTAAAGCAAAGTGTTCAGGAGCAGCTCAGTTCTATTTAAATGCTGATCAAGGCAGACTCCTGCCAGTCTGCCGAGGGCAGCAGAAACCCTCTAGCCAGCCCCTGGAGGAGCTGCCAAGGTCAAACGAGCAAGTACAGCCTCCTTGAGTTGTCCTACCAGTGGCAAAGACCAAGTGACCACAGAGGGACACAACAAACTCCCTGCCCGGGTCCAGCAGGGATCCCAAAAGCTCCTCCTTACAGGCTCCCAAAGCCTGTAAGACTCAGCAAAAACACAGAGCTGGAGCACTGAAAATCAGTGGAATAATGTACAAGAACAGGGCTGCCCTTTAACAGGCTCTGGAGTACTTGAATGCAAGCTGTTATCTCAAACCTACGAGGATATATTTATACACTGCTCCCAGATGGCTCCCGGGATGCTGGCTCTTCCAGATCTCAGTGCTGACATCCCATCTTGGAACTCATTACAAGGGAAAAAATACAAATTTCCAAATATTTCTCTTAAAGCACTTCCCAAAATGGGCAACCGATGCCTGCTTGCTATTTCAGCAAGCAGAAAGATTTATTGCTTCTTATGGTAAATATTGATCTTGATCCTGTTGCACTCCATAGCTATATGGCAACTCAATAAGGAGGGATGTTTGCTTCTAGAAAAGTCAATTCCCAGTTATTAGTGCAGTTTTGCCAGCGAGCACCATCACAACCTGGCTCTTCTCCCTGGCTGCATCAGGGTAGGAAAGGGACTGGATGCAGGAAATTTAAATCCCTGAATTTTCCACTCCAGCTGCTTTGGACATGGGCCCTCCTGCTCCACACGGGCCCTTCCAGCCCATCCCTGAGTGCATCCTGAGGCTGCACAGCTCCAAGACCTGTCATGCCATGCATCCAGCCAGTTGAGGATGATGCAGAAGGTTCCACCAACCAAAACCCACCCAAACCCTCTCAGAACAGCTCCTGCTGTGAGGTCCCTGGTGTCTGTGAGTGACAAACAAGGACAGGACACTCAAAATAGGAACAGTGGGTTTCTCCCTTGAGGTATCTCCTCCAAGATCTCCCTCAAAATATTTTTTCCTGAAGGGGAACAGCATTTTTCTTGTTTCTACAGCCCCCCTGAGATGGGGTTCCCATCTCAGGACCAATCAGAGAAGGGCTCTGACCCTGCAGGTCCCCATCCCCAAGAGACAATCCAGCCTCCACAGAGGCTGCAGAGACGGTGGTGCCCAAACCCAGCCATGCTGGGAGAAGCACACAGTGTTACTCTTCATGGGGAGAGAGGGAATGGAGAGGCTTTAAAGTCAGCTTAATAAGCAAAGCCATCACAACGCATTCCTCTCGCTCCAGCCCCGAGTCCTTCTCGCCTGAGCAACGCCAGGGCTGAGCCCGACTTCAAAACTAATTGGCTGCTTTGATGCTGGTCCCACTGCCCTCGCCGAAGCTGAGGCAGAGCTGCCTTTGAAGGCAGAGCTGCAGCATTGCAGCCCCGCAGCCCAGGCAGAGGCAAACACACCCTCTGCTCCCTCTGAGGGTGGCTGGACACGGAGATGCTCTTTCATCCCCTCCGCTCACCCACCTGCTGCCAGAGGGGTTTGGAAGGCAGGGCCAGGATGGGGAATGAACCCCCCGGGAGCCGTGGCCTCCCCCTCGCTGAACCAGAGCACCCTTACAGCCCCACGGGGGAGTGGGGGCTGTACCTTGGGCTGCAGCCTCTCATCCTCCTCCAGGAACTCGGAGACGCCCCTGGACACAGCAGCCAGACCCCGGACCAGCCTCCTGCAGGCGTTTGGCCCCACACCAAAGCTGTAGCACCTGCAAAGGGACAGGGAAAATCAGGGTCCAAAGGAAAAGCCACCCACCAGCCCCATGTAGCTCACACACTCCCTCAGGCAGAATTCCCTCTGGCTTTATCCCACTGCTATTTCCAACAGAATAAAACAGCTCCTCTTTTAGGTATGTGGCAGGAAGGGTGAGAACCTCCCTGTGCCTAAAGGGGCTCCAAGAGAGCTGGAGAAGGACTCTGGACATGGTCATGGAGTGACAGGACAAGGGAGAATAGCTTTAAGCTGAAAAAGGGCTGGGTTAGACTGGATATTGGGAAGAAATTCTTCCCTGTGAGGGTGGCCCTGGCACAGGGTGCCCAGGGAAGCTGTGGCTGCCCCTGGATCCCTGGAAGTGTCCAAGGCCAGGCTGGAGGGGGTTTGGAGCACTCTGGGCTATGGAAGGGGTCCCTGCCTGTGGCAGGGGGGTGGAATGAAATGGGCTTTAAGGTCCCTTCCAATCCAAACCATTCTGGGGTTCAATAAACTGTCAGCCCCCTCCTCTCAGCAGACCCCAAAACCCTTCCCCAAAGACCAGCCTTCAGCAGTGACACTCAGGGCTTCCCAGCAGGACCTCAAGCCTTCCCCTCTGCTGCAAACACAAACAAGCTGCTTTGCTCTCAGTTCAGCTCTTTTCCCTGCTGGCTGTGGTCAATAGCACCAAATATCCAGTAATTATCTCTGCTTGCAATGAAAATAAACATTTTCTCAGGGAAGGATGATCAAGGCAGGTGAGGCTGCTCCCCCACCCACTCCCAGGTCTGTGAATCCGGATTTGGTTTGGGCTGAAGGCTGGAAGTTGAGCTGGAGCCCAGGCAGGGAAGGCAGTGCTACATGGGGAAGGATGTGCCAGGAAGCCAGGAGGATGAAAATGGGTGGGATGTGGCATTTGGGCAGTGCAGTGGATTGCTGAGAAAGAAAGCACCTTCAGCAGCAAACTGCATCTGCACAGGGGGCTTTTCTCTTGGAGGGTTTTAATCCTCAGCTGCCTGCAAATCCTAGGCCAGCCTCACACCCCTCCTAAATAAGGTTCTGATCTTCTTTTAAGATGGGCCATGCCCAGGACTTTCCCTTCCATGGTCACCCGAGACCACGCTCCAGCTCTGATTGCTCCTAACCCTCCCCTCCAGCTCTGCAAGAGCGAGGGCTGGGAGGGTGGGATGCCCTCTACACTGGGAAACAATCAGACTCTGTGCAGTTACAAACCCACAGAGCAGCTCCCCTGATAACTCCAAACTCTGAGAGATGGAAGAGGAATCAGGATTTCTTACATTTTCCCCATGTTTTGTGCCCCTTAAAGAGGCAGAGGAGAAACCAGAACAGCCTGTGATCAGGGCTCTGGAGCCAGGCTGGGAGCTTGTGCACAAATTAGCTGCTTTTTACATTGCTGCCTTTCAGCATATTCAATTCTGCACAGCCCCAGCCTGGAAGCAGCTGGGGCCAGCCCCAGATGTGCTTTAAAAAAAAATTCAAAAAAAGCAAGGAAGATTGTTGGCGTGTCAATCTCTCCTAGCAGGAAGCATCAGCCGAGAGCTGTGAAGTTGTCAGCTCAATTATCCTGCTTTTGATTGTTTAAAAAGCATCTGAACTTCTGGGATTCGTTCCAAAGCCTTTGAGGTTCTCCCATGGCTCATAGCAGCAATCTCTCCTGCCTCTGTCTCTGAAGTGGGGACGCCTGTGAGATGGAGCTGTGCTCGAGGGGAGCCACACGCCAGCCTGTGCCAGGTTTCTGGCCCTGCGGGGGTGAGTCTGTACCTGGTGGAGCAGGAGTGGTCCCGCAGCAGCTCCAGAACCTTCCCGGTGTTGCTGACGGCCCCGGCTGTCAGCAGAAAGAGCAGCCGGGGGTGGCCCCTGTGGGTGGGCTGGCGGACGAGCCACTTCAGGGGGGACAGGAGGTTGATGCTGCCCATATCAGCCCGGATCCTCCTGATGCTCTGGCAGGCAATGAGCAGGCTCTCCTGCCCAAAGGAACAGTGGAATCATCAGCACCAGCACCCTCTGAGCACCAAGGAGAGCCATAGGAGAGGCTGAGGGAGTTGAGGCTGCTCATCCTGGTGAAGGGAAGGTTTTGAAGAGACCTTAAAGCCCCGTCCAGTGCCTAAAGGGGCTCCAAGAGAGCTGGAGAAGGACTTTGGACAAGGGCCTGAGGTGACAGGACGAGTGGGAATAGCTTTAAGCTGAAAAAGGGCAGGGTTAGCTTTGGTATTTACTGTAAGGGTGCTGAGGCCCTGGCACAGGTTACCCAGAGTTGTGGCTGCCCCTGGATCCCTGGAAGTGTCCAAGGCCAGGCTGGTGGGGCTGGGAGCACCCAGGGACAGTGGAAGGTGTCCTTGCCCATGGCATGTAAGATCCCTGCCCACACAAACCAGTCTGTGAATCTGTGACCTGTGGGTTCACCCACCTCACAATAGGCCTGGCTGACAGGAAAGAGGGTCTTGAAGGTGGATCCAAACCCAATGACATTGAAGAGACATGCTGGCATCAGGCTCTTGAGAATGACCAGCAGGGCATCCTGAGGGGTGGAATGCAAACAGACATCAGGACACTTGGATCCTCCCTGGCTGCCCCAACTTCACCAGTAAAAGCTCTGCCCAGAGCCATCCCATCTTATTCCCACTTTCACCTGACAACACACCAACTGCTTCTTTCCACGCCTCCATATGACCCTGCTCTTTTCAAAGTCCCTTGATGATATTTGGGACCTGAAGCAGTGAGGAAAATGGGGAGTCTTTGGAAAAAAAAGACAACAAAGAACTGAACAATTTTTTCTGTTTGTTTTTAAGGGATTCAATTTGTGCTGGCAACACAGTGCTGCAGCACAGAGCTGGTGGGTGAGAAGCAGAGTGTGAAATTGAGAAGTGCGACACGCAATGCATCTCAATGCCTAAACTTGCAGAAAATAAACAAACAGCTTAAAGTTACACAAAAGGAAAAGCCTCCCCCATCCCCAATTCTCTTGTATTCATAGCTGGCTTCAATTAAAATAACTGGGAGACAACGGATTTAAGCTATTTTCTTTACCAGAGGTGGTTATCTAACGTGCCTATTCCTGGGCTTTACATAAGGCAAGAGCAACTTGAATTGTCACAGTGATATTGTGGACAAGTCCAGGACAGAGCTTGTGATCACAGCAACTGGGCAAGAGCTGCTTAAGGAGCTCTTGAACTTGTAGGAGCAATTATGTGGCAGGAGAGGAGGCCCATTTAAAGCAAAGTGTTTATTTAAAGCAAAATGTAAAGCAAAGTGTTCAGGAGCAGCTCAGTTCTATTTAAATGCTGATCAAGGCAGACTCCTGCCAGTCTGCCGAGGGCAGCAGAAACCCTCTAGCCAGCCCCTGGAGGAGCTGCCAAGGTCAAACGAGCAAGTACAGCCTCCTTGAGTTGTCCTACCAGTGGCAAAGACCAAGTGACCACAGAGGGACACAACAAACTCCCTGCCCGGGTCCAGCAGGGATCCCAAAAGCTCCTCCTTACAGGCTCCCAAAGCCTGTAAGACTCAGCAAAAACACAGAGCTGGAGCACTGAAAATCAGTGGAATAATGTACAAGAACAGGGCTGCCCTTTAACAGGCTCTGGAGTACTTGAATCCAAGCTGTTATCTCAAACCTACGAGGATATATTTATACACTGCTCCCAGATGGCTCCCGGGATGCTGGCTCTTCCAGATCTCAGTGCTGACATCCCATCTTGGAACTCATTACAAGGGAAAAAATACAAATTTCCAAATATTTCTCTTAAAGCACTTCCCAAAATGGGCAACCGATGCCTGCTTGCTATTTCAGCAAGCAGAAAGATTTATTGCTTCTTATGGTAAATATTGATCTTGATCCTGTTGCACTCCATAGCTATATGGCAACTCAATAAGGAGGGATGTTTGCTTCTAGAAAAGTCAATTCCCAGTTATTAGTGCAGTTTTGCCAGCGAGCACCATCACAACCTGGCTCTTCTCCCTGGCTGCATCAGGGTAGGAAAGGGACTGGATGCAGGAAATTTAAATCCCTGAATTTTCCACTCCAGCTGCTTTGGACATGGGCCCTCCTGCTCCACACGGGCCCTTCCAGCCCATCCCTGAGTGCATCCTGAGGCTGCACAGCTCCAAGACCTGTCATGCCATGCATCCAGCCAGTTGAGGATGATGCAGAAGGTTCCACCAACCAAAACCCACCCAAACCCTCTCAGAACAGCTCCTGCTGTGAGGTCCCTGGTGTCTGTGAGTGACAAACAAGGACAGGACACTCAAAATAGGAACAGTGGGTTTCTCCCTTGAGGTATCTCCTCCAAGATCTCCCTCAAAATATTTTTTCCTGAAGGGGAACAGCATTTTTCTTGTTTCTACAGCCCCCCTGAGATGGGGTTCCCATCTCAGGACCAATCAGAGAAGGGCTCTGACCCTGCAGGTCCCCATCCCCAAGAGACAATCCAGCCTCCACAGAGGCTGCAGAGACGGTGGTGCCCAAACCCAGCCATGCTGGGAGTTGAAATGCAAAAATCCACTCTGGGAAAAGAGTGGATTCTCAGACTCTAAAGATGCTGGGGAAAGGGGTACAAGCCCAGAGATATCCTGCTCCCCTTGGGAACAGCCTCCCTATCCCAGGCGATGTGTCGCAGCCATCTGCAGGCTCCCCAGCATCCCAGTCCTTGTTGCTGAAGGTGTCTGTCCTTCCTCAGCAGTTCCCATGGAAACTGGAGACAGATGGGAAAAGAGATGTGATAGGAGATGGACAAGTTCAGGAGCGGGTCTGTGGGAACCTCACGAGGTTCAACAGACCAAGGGCACCAAGGCTGGCTCTGGCTAAGAGCCACATCTGACAGGGGAACCTCAGACCCACAAAATATCCTGACAGTGCTATTTTTTATTCAGAGCTCTCGACACAACTCCCATAACTATCCACCAGGCTGCTGGTGTTCATTTGTGTTTGTAAAAGGGATGTCTCATATTTAAATCATTTCTGTGGGTTCACAGAGATGCCCATCAGCAAAACCTCTCCTAATGCACGGTCAGCACCTCGCTCCCCTTGGAGCTCCCTGGAGGCTTCCTCCTAGGCAGCCATCACCCAAAGCCCTCCTGGAGACAGGGAGAACTGGAAAAGGGGTGCACAAAGCATGCCAGCAAGAGAGGGAAAGAAAAAAATTTTGCATTGTATGTGCTGATAGGAAGAAGCAGAAGAGAACAGGGGAGAGGTACCTTGTTGCAAGGTACCAAACAAGCGCCATGGCTGAGATGACCAAAATACAGCCCATAATTACCCCCCATGCCCTGATAATGAACACTTATGGTCTCAGCACCCCCACTGCTCTCTCTCATTCGTCCCTGCTGACAGGCAGGTACCTTGGCACGGCTGATGTTCACACCACTCATGCTCCTACTGCGGTCCACCAGGAAGATGAACTCTCCCTGGGCTTTCCGGAGGCCTGGCTGCACCGTCCTCAAGTCAGGGCAGAAGTTGAGCATGATGACAGGGTGGTGGGGGATGTCCTTGTTCAGCCTCTTCCTGATGATTTCCGTCTGAAAGAAAGCAGGAGACAGCTCCAGAGGCCGATTTTGAGAGATTGATTTCTCCATCCCATTTTAATTTGAGGGGAATCAGAGCAGGGGTCAAAATGCAAGTGCATGGCCTTTTGTGGGTCAGAATCTGCTTGTTCAGAGATGACAACACCAGGGTGGGCCAATATCCGGGTGGTCTGTTCTGTCCACACCCACAGTATTCACCATCCCTGCAAGTGTCCAAGGCCAGGCTGGACAGGGCTTGGAGCAAGCTGGGATAGCAAAAGGTGTCCCTGCCCACGCGAGGGGTGGAACAAGATAAGCTTTAAGGTCCTCTCCACCAAACCATTCTGGGATTATAGGGAGCAACTGCACACTCAGATAAAAGCCTGGAGAAGAAATCGAAAGACCTGGCCCTACCCAGCACCTTGCAAATCTGATTCTCCAAACATTTCATTAGATCCTTCCTGAAAACCTGGTTCATTAGCACAGCATAGCATCCCACCGAGGCACACCAGAGGTTTTCTCCATGGTCACTCACTAATGAAGTGTGAGATGCAGCCCTTGATCTGCTGCATTCAGCACTCCAATTCATTCCTGCCACCTCTGGTTTGCTGCTTTTTCTGCCCATTTCTTTTATCACTTTTCTTTGTAGGGATTGAAAGGCTTTGGAAAGCTGAACCGTTTGCTCCGGCCGTGGCTCGATAGGAACCTGCATGATCTCTGCACTGCACACAGCTCCAATGGCTCTCCGCATTTTCTCTCCTTCTATTTCAAGTATTCATTACAAATGGGATAAAATAAAACTGCCAAAAACCTCTTGTGATGGGTGTATAATGTGCTGTTATGCGTGTATCAAGCAATAACAGGTTCAAGGCCTCAGCTGCTTTGGAAGGAGCTTCAGGACCCCACATCAGCCCAACCACAGCCTTTCATCCCTGGGTCTGAGTGTGGAAGCAGCTCCTCAACAGCAGCTCGATCCTCAGGGGCTTTGTTTGCCTCTTTTCTCCTCTTTCTGGCTGCTTTTCTCTGTTGGTTTCACAGGGAGTGAAACAGACCCCAGATAACAGGGCTTGTTTTCTCCAGCCATGAGTCACATTCCTCAGTCTATGAGCTGAGGACCAACCTTTGTTTTCTAAAACTCACTAACTCCCTGTGGCTCAACACACACACACAAGCTCTGCTTTCAGCTCCTCTGCCTGAAGAGTGCAGCTTCTCTGACCCAGTGAAAAGACAGGTCCCACTCAAGGAATAAGCCAAGCTCCCACTCATCCTCCTGCCTTTGCCTTCTATGCTATGGGGTATAAACTAATCAGCTGCTGAGAAATCAAAGGCCTTTTTCCATTTCCATTTCCTTCCAGCCATATGACATTATTTTCTTTAACTTTTCCAGTTTATTGCATTCCAGACTAGAGTGTTCCTTGCTGCCTCTGTACAAATATTGAATTGTGGCCCTGGACCTATCCACAGAACTCCCTGGCATGCTCATGACATAAATTTCCTGTGTGATCAGGATGAGCCCATTTTTGGGGGTTTCTCACTGACTGGAGGGAATTTTAGAGGCACATCTTCAGTAAACAGCTTCAGAGGAGCTGCTACAGGTCAGCCAGAAAAGAAAACACCTCCTCACCTCCCTTCTGTTCCCCTTCACCCATTATCCAATTACAGTAAACTAATCAGATTTTGTTGAGTAAAGTTGATTCTAGTGTGCATCCATCCCCACCAACCTGCAGCTGACAGCATCCAAGCCTTTTGCATAATAAATGCAGGGAGGAGAATTACTTATTATTTACTGCTGAAATTTCTGGGCTAATTTAATTTAAGCCAAGAAGTGGCCAGTGCCCTGTTCTGAGCAGCAGCAATTCCAGCCCATCATCTACCCCAATTATTCCAGGCATTTTCTCTGCTCCCTGCAGTTGTTTCCCAGTCCTCCTGGGGCACAGGTGGCTTTCCTGCAGGAAAATGTCTCCAGAATGATCCCCCCTTAGATAATTTGACATGCTAAATGTGCAGAAATAATTAGGGAGGCATCCGAGGCGTAGCGTGGGAGTTCCATCTCGTTCCACCTGCCACACGCTGAACACAATTAGAGGAGACGCCCGCGGAGTCCCAGCCCTGCCAGAGAGAGTGGGGGGCAAAGGGAAGGGAGGAGAGGAGGGTTGACAAGTCTCTGGTGAAAGGAGGAATCTTAGCAGCACAGGGAGGCACCCCTGCAGCAGGTCTGGGATGTCTGCCAAGAAGGACGCAGGATCAGACACGTGGAGAAGGAGTTCAGGGGGAAATGAGCATCCCTGGGCACACAGGAGAGCCCTGGCTGTGTAAAACAGGAGCTGACACTGTCAGCCCCAGCTGTGGCCACACGAGCACAACCTGTCCCTTAGGGGAAGACGCCCACCCTGGAAATCCAGAGGGCTCTGAGCTGTCTGCTCCTCTCTGCTGATCCCAGACACACCAAAGAGTTGGGCTGTCACTCATTCCTTCAGAACTGCTGGCAGACGAGGCACAAATCCCAGCACAGATATTTTTCTCTTTGCTGCTCAGCAGAACAAAGAGAAGTCTCTCCTACCTTGTCTTCAGTTCAGCTCATTATTCCCAGGAAGATCGCTTCTTTCTCTCTGACAGCTACCCAGAAACAGTAAACATTTACCGAGCAATTAAAAGAATATTTTATTCTATGTCATTGCAATAATTATAATACCCTTAATGCTATCACAATGCACCTCTCTAATTATGCTATGCTAGACTAGCACTAATTATACACACAATAACCATCTCAGGGCTCCTTCCCCTCTCAGTTTATCAGCAGTACTGCTGAATTTTCCCCTCTTCCTCCACACAAGGCCCTCTCTGAGGGAGGATGCTGCAGGTCTCATTGGGACAGTGTAATATCTGATGCTGGAAACATGGAATCATCTAGCTCAGCTCTAGTCCATGGAAAGCCTCAGCTAACACCTGCAGCTTGTGTTTCTCACCTTTTTCTTGGCACTGGGGTCTTTCTTAGTGCCTTTAATGAAATCGTTCTTCCCCTTCAGGTGTCGTTCATACTCTGCAGGGGTCATGTCACCCTCTTCCATTAAGATGTGGGGCACGTGGGGCTCTGTAAATGCAGAGAATTGCGTGAAGAACAGCTGTGGTTACACTTTGGGACTGGCAGAGATGCAGGCACCCTTGGCTGGGAAAACAGCAGTACCTGTGAGCTTGGAGAGCTCAGAAAACCCTGAGAGGGACAAGGATTACCTCCTGGGAAGCCTAACCTTGACAATATTTGCTAAACCAGCACTAATCCAGCTGTCTCCAGAGCTGCAGATGAAGATCCCAGGAAGGGGCAAGAGCAGCAGAGGGGAAGCAGAGCCCACCTACCACTTGGGTGGATCAGGATCTCCACGGGTCTGTCGAAGGTGTGTTTGTTGGCCAGCGTGATCACGATGCTCTTGGCAGAGCGAGCTGAGGGGTCGGCGTCTGCTCGGATCTCGTGTGTGGGGCTCTCAACTCCTGCCAGGGAAATCAAGGTGCCAGTGGGGATTGAGGATGGGGGAACACCAGGGAGAAGGGATGACAAGGCAGTAGAGGACAGGAACCCACATTAGCATCAACCTTGTACTGGTAAATCCACCCCAGCACAGTTAAGTTGCCAACACAGATTTACACTGAGGAGGAGGAGTGTGGACATTGCCTTGGGGAGGTGATAAATCAGCCTTGTGCAGCAGGACAGCCCCAGTGCTCCTACCTGCCAGCAAACACGGCCCCCGGATCTCCAGCTGGAAGCTGAACTCATACTCAAAGGGGTTGGTGGCCTCACTGTCCAGCAGCTGAGTCAGGCAGAACCTGCTCCCTTGCTCCGGGCTCCCCAATCCACAGGGGTGCTTGTCCCTGCCAGTGAGATAAATCCAAATAAACCTTGTCAACATGTTCCATCCCCCCAGGAACTGCAGGTCTGCCAGAGGTAAAGCCTGCAGCCACTCTGCAGCCTCCTGCAGCTCCTGTTCATTCAGCCCTGCATTCCCCAAGATCAATCCCAGACAGAGCCCACCCTGTGGTTTTCCATACGTTTGGAGCTGGTGGCTGGAAAAGCTGCTGGCATTCTCCAGGCTGGCCTGGGAGACCCTGGGGACACACACAGCTGGCAGAAGGACTCTCACCACCCCGCTGGGGAGTGTCTGCAGCTCAGAGGAGGTGCTGATGAAGATGGAGACACTTTCCAGGGGAGGAATCATGCCCAGGTTGGCCACAAAAACAATCCTCTCCAGGTCCTCATCCATGATAAGCCTTCCTGCACAGAGATTGGACCATGCCAAGTATTGCAACCATGAAAAATGCTCCTTTCCAGGCCTCCCACAACCTCCAGCCCTGGATCAAACACCCAAAGCTGCCACCACTGCACACATCAGCCTCCTCTAAAGAGCCCCAGCTTCTGCATCACTCCTTTGGCTGCCCAGAAGCAGCAGTGCTTTCCAAGATGGATAAGACTGACTCTTCTGGCATAAGCACCACAACCCCTCAGCCTCCTAAAAGGAGGGTGCCGCAGCATACACCAGCCAGCCACCCTTGTCACCTCCCCACTCCCCTTCCCCTCCTTTTCTCCCTAAAACACCCTCAACCCCCTCACCATCACCAGCTCTTCCAGGGGGGAGGCTGCAGCTGTTGAAGTAGGTGTCATCCATCTTGGCTTTGTCTTTGATCTGCACTGTCACAGTGCGCCGTGACACGGCTGCCTCGAAGCCCACGACAGTTGTGCCCTCGTCCAAGGGGTACACAAAGAGACCTGCCAGCCAGGAAGAGTGTCAGCAACACCCACCTCTTCCCTGGACCCACCAGCCAGGTCCTTCTTGGCACTTCCCAAGTGGGAAAAAAATCCCACTTGTGGGATTTTTCACACCTAAAAAGTTGTAGACTTGGACACGATACATTTGGTTCTGTTTCCCACAAGCATCTAAAGGTTGAAGGCATGCACAGAAACCCAGCACTGCCATATCCTGACTTTAAAGTTCCCATGCCAAGCTTCACTCCTTAAAACTTGCCTTCCAGAGCCTGGGGATCGGGGTTGTGGTAGGTGAGCAGGGCTGTCATCCCAAAGGCATAGCCGCTGACACAGGAGGTCACCTCGGACGCAATGAGGGGCAGCCGGGAGAGGGTGGCCCAGTTAATCAGCCCTGGCATCTTCCTGGGGGTCTCTGCGTGACGGTGGGGAGCTGGAGAGGGAAAGGTGAGAATGGATGTGGAGCCCTGAATGCCCAAAATGCTTGCATGGCTCTGCCACCTCACTCTGAAGCCCTGAGGACAGAAAGGTGAGTGACCTGGGACAGGATGAGACCTGGGTTTGATGACTGCAGTGATGGGGATGGAGCAAGACAAGATGGGAAGACACAAGGCAAACCCTTGCCCCAAATCCCCATTGGCACTAGGGAGGAAGCTCAGATGAAATCTCCCTGGCTGGGGACAGGCAGCCCTGGAGGTCATAGCCCCCACCTCCCACACTGCTGGAGCCTGAGCAGAACAGGTTAACATCTTTTTCTGTCCCCCTTTCTCCTCATTATCCTCCAAACCAACAACTTTCTCCAGGATAAGACTATGATCATGAGAGTTTTCCTTTCTCTTGAGGAAGGAAGAGTAGGCAGGCAGAGCCACACATGCTCCTGCCCTCCCATGCCCTTGCCCATCCTCATCCTTGCTGATTACAGGGAAGTGCCACTGCTCTGCTGTCCTGCATCTCCAGATCCTTCCTGCACAGGCTGACTCATCCCTCCCTGTGCTCAGCCGACACATTCAGATGCAAAGTGACTCCTTATGCCAATTACATCCCAACTATTTTCCCTAAGCAGGTTTTCCTCCATTACAGCTCCTCTCCTCCAGGCCTCAGGGCTTTAAAGGAGACTTTTCAGGTGGATTTTAGGGCCCCATCCTGCTCCCCCAGGGAACCAGGAGAAGTTGCTAGGCAGCAGTTCTCCCTGGCTGGCTCTGCAATGCTTTATGCAGTGATTTACGAGGCCCAGGAGAAGCCAGCAGCACTGAAATACATCAGTTTCTCATTCCTTCGTTATTAAAACCCACCTTTATATGCAAATGCCACAGAAGACATCAAGGCCACCAGCTCGATGAGTGCTCAGGCAGGAAAACAGCATTGAGAAAGGACAAAGAGAGAGCCAGGGAGAGCAAGAAAGGCTGTCCAGGATGGGTAAGAGCAGTCAGGGAAACTGAGCACAGGAAACAGCAGCAAAAATGATGATGGAGGGCAGTAAACCCAAGGCATGCCCCTGAATCCCGGCCAAAAACCTTAAATTCCTGATTTAATCCACCCCTCCTTCTAGCACAAAGGTTGCTCACGCCAGGAGCTGCCCAGGGAGGTTGGGGATGCATCCATGGGGATGCAGTCCCCACAGTCAGGAGATGGATGGAGTCCTGCCTGAGCCAGGGGAGGCATCCCACACCTGGATGCTCCAATCTGTGCCAACAGGGCCTGGGAAGTCCGGAGCTGGCAAGAGTTCACCTGCACAGGGAGAGATAGGGAAGGTCCCCTCACTTCAATATGTGCAGAAGCCATCAAGGCATCGGGAAGTGATTAAATGTCAGGTGGGGGAGGAAGGAGGGGGAATGATTTTACCTTAGGGAAGAAATAATAATGGGAAGAAGCTCTCTAACAGCTTGGCACAACAGGAATTCATTATGGGATTGCCAGAGGGGTGAATTTGGGCTCCAGGAGCGTGATTTCAGCTTGGAACTGGGGACTTAGTACAGAGGCATGGGTGAGATCCAAGCCCCTCACATCTCCTGCACCCATGGAAGACTGGGGACATAGCTCCCATGGGAACCACTTGCCAGCAGGGATTTCTGCATCACCTGGGCCAGTACAAGCACTAAGGGACCCTTGGTGAGATGCAGATCCCTGTGCCATGTCCTGTTCAATTCATCCAGGAAAGCTGCACCTCTCCTGCAACTCCGAGGTGGTTCAGAGGAGCCTGGCACCAGCTCCCACTGCTGTGCCAGCCAAAAAATCGGCCCCACAAGGACAGGGAGGGCTCAGAGGGCTCCTCCCCGCAAAAACCCTTTGACAGGGGATGCTGCCAGCAGAGCCATGGGGCTGCTCCACACAGCTTGTGTCACCAACGCCATCAAGTGACTGCAGCAGGGAAAGGGAGAGCAGCAGAAAGGCTGGAGTGAGGGAGAGCAGTGGGAAGGCTGGAATCTGTCCCCTGTGCCACCCAGGAGCTCAGCACCGGCCCCCTGCCTGCTCCCCATCCTGCCTTTGCTGCTCTGGGATGTGTGCTCAGTCCCTGTTCAGGCCATGGGGCCTGGACTCTCAGGATGGCACCTGGCAGGACCCTGTATCCCAAAAAAATTACCAACAGCTTAACACTGCACAGGGTACCCCTAGACACACCCAGCCCTCAGGGTGTCCCCTCACTGCCACCAAACTGTCCTGCCTCCCACACACAGCAGGCGTGGGGCCACCCCACAGACCTGGCCAGGTGCCTCCCGACCTCACACTGCATCTGGCATTCCAGGAAAAAGGGAAACCACTGAGGGTTAATACCTTCAGCCCCCAAAATACACCTGTAATCCCACCAACTAGGGAACACCTCAGGGCCGGGGACAGACACTGTCCCTTGGCCAGCTGCACTCTGGACATGGCACACCAGTCTGACACTGGATCGATCTTTTTTTCCCCCCTTCCTTTGTAAGCATCCTTTCCATGACAATCCACTGCTGTTCCTGGCCACGGAGGGCAGGGAGACACGGACGTGTGATCATGCCTCGGCCCGACGGACGGGGAAGGCGCTGATGCTGCTGCAACGTCCCCGTGACGCGCGGGGAGCGCAGGGCTGCGAGCCCGAGCACAGGCTCCTGCCCCTCACAGCCTAACTCCCGAGAGGCTGGGGCTGGATTTATGGGATGGGAAAAGGTGTTTCTGTGCCTGAAAAACGGGGGTGGTGCCTGAAGCACTGCCTGGAGCTTCCTGGGTGTCCATCTGGGTCACTAAGCGCTGATGTGCCCTCAAAAAATCTGTTTGAGCACATGGAGTAAAGACAGGGGCAGAGTAAAGCTCCTCCGAGGTGTATTTTCATGCACTGAAAAGGAAAATAGAGCAAAACTGTGAACACACAGCCTGGCTCCTGGCAGGACCCGACTCCCAGGAGTGGGTTGGGGTCCCAGCTGTACCACACCACAGGATCTGTGGCATCCACAGCCGACAACAGGATAGGGAGAGTCAAAGCAGCAGCTGGGATAAAACCCGACATAGCTCCACCCAGCCCTGCTGCCTGAAGGGCAGACATCAGGGGCAGCTCGGCTGCTTCTGCCCCGCAGGACAGGAAGGCTGCCGTGTCAAGCCGAGCCCTGGTGTCACACCTTGCACCAGACGCATTTTTGAGCAGCTGAATCACTGCCCCGCCCTGCTGTAACCCCTGACAGGCACAAGCCCTGGAGATCTCCTGGTCCGAGCTAGACCTGGGGCACATCCCCACTGCTCTGAGGACGCCTGGTTTTCTGCAGCTGGGTAAAATATTCCTTCCACGTCGTCTGTCTCAATCAACACTGACATCCAGTGGCTCTCCGGGATGACGACAGCCGGAGCGCCCTGTGGAGATGTGCAGGTGGACAGAGCTGGCCAAGGATGCCTGTTGCACCACAGCCTCCCATCAGCATTCCTGGGCAATCTCCACGGGTAACAAACTCCCCCTGTTAGCAAATCCAAGACTGGAGAAGCCTTGCACTTCCCAAACTTTCAGGGCTCTCGAGTAGAGCCACCCTTGGGAATTCTCCCTGGTTTTCAGGGGCAGCAAGGCTCAGGGAGCTGCTGAGGGACCCCTAACTTCACCAACCCAACCCACATCACTGCAGGTCATGACTGAGACATGTAGGAGCCCTCCAGCTGCTTTCTCTTAAAGCACAAGGCTCAAACCTGGCAAGGATACTGGGATCAACCCCCAAAATATCTCTAGGAAGAGGAGGAAATGGGGTTTGAAAGAGCACCCATAGCATGGTCCTATCTGGAAGAGCCATGGATGCACCATGGCAGACCTGTGAGATACTCTCAGCAAAAGCTGCAGGAACTGTTCACCCATCTCCAGCCTCCTCCTACCCCAAACTGCAAGCAGAATATCCCATTCCTGGAAAACCAGGAAAACAGCCCCTGCAGGTCCCCAGAGGGTGATAACATGGGCCCCCCACTGCCACAGCAGTGACAAGGATTGCTGGCCCCAAGGACACCCTGAGGCCTCAGATATGGGAATTGGGGAAAGGCTGGGAAGCAACTTCTCCTGCCAGAGCCCAGTGGAAGCAGCCAGGTCCCCCTTCCCAAGGTGACAGAGTGCCAGGCTGGGACATGACTGACAGCCCTGGCAGAGACAGACTTTGGGAACTGTCAGTCACAGCCCTGGCAAGTGTCTTAGACCACCAGTCTGGCCTCAGAGTTGGGTGTCACAGACCTGGATTCCTGTCCCAAGCCCCTTCCTAGAGCTGTTAATCACATATTTCTGACACAGGGGTTAGTTAACCCCCACCTTGCTGGGCTCACAGATGGGGGGAAGATCCCTGGGCTGAGCCAGAGAGGGGGTGTTGGCCCAGACACCCCTCAGGTGGGCTAAACCTACCAGGCAGCCTGCTTCCTGCTTGGGGTGCATCCAGAGCCAAGGAGACACACAGGGCCCCCAGAAGCAGCACTGCCCTTCTCCTTCCACCCCTGTCCCACCCAGCCCCAGCCAGTGTGGTGGATTCCAGCCAGGTCTCAGTGTTTTGACCCTTACCAGGGGGATCAGCCCCCCTCACCCTGCCAAGGTCACTCCTCCTTCCCCAAACAGTGTGTCCACAGATGGGTTATCCCACTTGGCTGCCGAGGACAGCAACAGCCCATCACCCCCAGCATCATCCCCCCGTCCATCCCTGTCCTCTGCCTGCATGGAGATGGACACAGTCACTACTAATGTCTGTACAATTTTTGGGAAGGCATTGGATGTTCCGGGACTCACCATCCAGCTGGGAAAAAGCAAGGCTGGGAAGCAGCAGCTTGCAAAGTGTGGGCTTGTGCCTGCACAAATATTATGACAGGGATCTCTTCAGTGAGCGGCTTTGTGCTGGGATCGTGCACAGCCTTGGGAAGTGACACACACACACACCCCTCACACCCACCCCTGCGGAGCTAAAAAGGTGCAGGAGCAACTGGA